CGACTTAAATGCAGAAATTTAGGACAATTTGTACGTCGACTTTCGCTGCATCTCAAGAAACTGAGTTTCGGCGAACTCATTGAACTGTGGAAAAATTTCAGGACGTATTGTAATATCGACCTGGATTCGAAGCTAGATGTACTCGCTTTCAAGGAGCGATTTTCACATGTTCCATTGACCAGTTCCCCTCTGTCCCTGAATCAGTGGAAAGGAAGTGTATCCTCCGTCTACGGTGACGAAACGTATGCTTTTACTAGTGTTAACGTTGGTCGTTTATAATCCAGTGTGATTCGAAATCATCTGTTTGGAGGGTAGTCGAAAGTATGGTAAATTTACATCTCACTTCATTTTTGTTTTAAAGTCGAACGACACCTTCCCTTGATCATGATTGTAGGTAAAAGTAATTGGTCTTTCAGATTGGTTTTTCGGATTGGTCTTTCAGAGAGATTCACCAAAATCATGAGTAGGCGTTTTACTTAAACTTCGTTACGATTGTCATCAACATGCGCAGAAGCATTGAATATTTTGCTGCAATTGTTCTTCCATATGTAAAGATAAATAATTCTTTCGCGCCATTGAAATTTTTTCAAATATTGGTACGATCATGGTATTCTTTACGATTAGTTCTTCCATCCCTGTAATAAACTTCATTCTTTTCTCCAAAATAGCCAGGACCGTTTTTTGCCATTCTCCGTGAATTTATTTTCACCAGTCCATTGTTATCTAAGTAATGCTGGATTTAAAGCATTCCACCGTAATGGTAGCATTTTGCATGGTGAAGATTTGATAGCATATGATCTGTTTGTTAACTGGGTTGTTTATAAAATGAACTGTAAAGTTTATCAAAAGATTTATCTCGTAGTTTTGAAGCACCATACAGTAGCTGCTCGAAGGATATTTTTTGCAGTTGAGAACGTACACCGAATTGACAGCAGTGATGTGAAAATTTTAGACATTAATGACAACTGCATATCGAATGTTACACAATTTCGCTATCATGAAAGCCTATTATGCTGCCTGCCACGGACGAAAGAAAGCGAGTTTCAAAGATATCTTTTACCCATTTAAAATCTCATCTTTCATAACCAGTCACTCGGTCGATTGAGGAACCTCATTCTCTTCGAGTCGTGGAAGCAGCAGTGTTAGGCAAGGTCTCAACCGTTCCTGATCCTGTTTCAGCTTCTGAGGTGCGGCAGAAGGTAGCCTGAGTCTGGAGCTCATTTTGTCGAGACTTTTTCTTCAGATTGTTTTTGGCTGTCTCTGAGGTCTTCGTCCGGTCGGTTGAGCAAGTGGTAGTTGTTTGCGTTTATCCTTTCTAGAAGCATTTGCATGACGTGGCCCAAACCATCGCAGCTCTGACTACTCAATCGAGTACACAAAGGTTAACTCAGATATGTAAACTCCGTGCCGTGCTCAGACCAGCGAGCCTGCAGATTCGTCTCAGATAGCCAGTGTCAGCCGCGTGTACTTCGGATTGAGGTTTTTCATTCATGGCCCCCAACTCTTGACACTGGGCGAGCCAAACGATGAAAATGAAAATAGATTTTAGCACTGACAACTTCGTATTTAGACTCAGCTTTTCTTCTGTTACAACGTTTTGGAATAGTTCATGCGGAACGCTCTCACATAATACCTACTTCCGCAAACAACAAAAAATAAAAATTTCCGGAAAACACCAGTCACCTATAAGACATACCGCAGAAATCGATGGAAAACCTGCTGAAGCTGAACTGCAAATCAGTCGGTTAAAGAACAAGTGGATGTTCTGCCAAATACCTACGTCATAATAAACGGTAAAATCATCGAAGTCAACCAACACCTTTTTCTGGGCCAAGAGGTCAACATGCTTCATAATTCGGTTGAACAGACTCAGTGGAAAAGAGGGACGGATATCGCGCTTTCCATAACATTGAGCATGTCCTCGTCGACAACACCAGGAAAAAGACCCGCGTCTACTTACTCAGTTCTACCGTCCTTCCGGCAATGTTTTATGTTTATGAGACATGGTTACTCACTAATACCTAAGAGCGTCAGTTATGTGTCATGGAGTGCTCTGCGGATGCTGGGAATTTCACTTCCCAAGAAAATCCTCGACGTGGTTATCAGAAAATCGGTGGGAGTGAAGAATGTTGTCGTCGAAGGCAGAAAGTAAATGCAACGGTTGTCGGGACACTTAGCCGGCACACCGGTGGTAGATAATCGCCGATGTATATATTCGCCCGCTATGAGAGTGAGAGAATTATGTCAGTAATCATAAAGGCCGCGCATGGCGAAAGAAGGCCCTATATCACGAGGAATGGCGAAAATGTTGCGGCGAAGTGATTCGCGCTGATTACCGGCCGATACAAGGGATATATATATATACTATTCATATATTTTGTCGCCATTTTTTCGTATGGTTTTTCTGTTTTGTTTAGTTTAGTGTTTCGATGTTGTGTGGCTTTCTTTTCGTTTACCCATGTTATGTTTTGTTTTCATATTTTTTTTTGTTAGAAACCTATACGTTCTCGCCTTATGCTGCCCGCTGGTCATTCTTCGCATTGGCAACACTCTCTAAATATTATTGTGGGTTTAAAAACAAACACCATTTATGTTTGCGAAGGTTCCGCCACTCAGTGAAACTTTTGCTGAGACTTCATATCATTTCTTTTCTGCATTTAGACCTCTTATTGTTAATATACTCATTGAATAGCGGATGCTGTTTATGCAGATATATGATACTTTTAGTAAATTCTATAATAGGATGGTTGTGACGCTTGGTGCGTTGAAATAAGAGCTTTCAATTTGCCCTTAGGACTTTGGCGTTTCGTACATAAGAAAACAAATTCTTCTCGACTAAGTGAATCAGTCATCTAAAAATCATCGTAAGTGATTACGGAAGCCAGCGTTCGCTCGTTAAAGGCAAATGCTTACCGTTAAGGACAAATCTGAGGCTCAGAGTACCGTAGATAGACTTCATATGGTTCCCTTAATTTGAGAACTTCCACAGGTTAATGCAAGTCTCCTACCAAAATCATCTGCTCGAGTGTGTTTGTATTTCGCCCTCCCTTAGTCTCTAGCCTACGCCCGTTGCTTGTTTTCGAAAAAGTCACGATTTAATTTTTTACGCAGCTGCGAAATGTAGTAATAAGTTTTATAGATCTGATATCTCATCATTGGACAACATGTCGCGCACAGAGGCCGGTTTTTATATTAAGAAACAGGTTAGCTGGCGTTAAACATTGATTAAATTTGAAACTATTTGTGCTCTGTACAGATTTACCTGATGCAGATGAATCCTGGACAAGCAACATCTCCTATGGAGTTAAATCGATGGATAGCGGTCATGTTGGAAAAGTATCCGCATTTCTACCAGTTGGTACGTTCAGATTTTTACGGGCATCGCTTTACACTGTACTACTTTTCACAATTGTTTTTCAGTATTTTTTGAGGTTCGTTAATTTTTTGCGTCTCCAAGATCTCGCGTCGGCTGAAACTGCATTGTACGACTATTTTGATTGGGCAGTGGTCTACAGTTCATCCGGCCTTATTAATGTTGACGCTTCTAATTCGTTAGCCTGCTATGCTCCGTTGTTATTGTCAAAGCTTTACCGCCATTTTGGATTTCGGTGAGTCTCAAGCAGTATCATCTTTTAAGCAACAGTTGGCTAAATTTACATTCTTAATCTTTGATCATTGTGATTTTTATAAATCCGCATCTAGATTATACACATAATTTCAGTATCTTCAAAATAATTGCAGAAGGTGGAGAAAACCAGCACCGCAAACGGTTTAAACTGAACTTTAACCTCTCTAGGGCTAAGTGTAAGTGATCAGGAAACAAATTCCTAAAAACAATTACAGCGGATAACA